GAATCTTTAGAAACAAAATGAAAATGACTGAAATTCTCATTATCTGAGCATAATTATGAAGACATTTGTACAAATCAATACACATTTATAGCACATGATGCCATGATTTATATAAGCACTGACATTCCCTGCATCTATATCTGTATACATTTCCTGTCACTATGGAAACTAAAATGTCTTTGAAATAATCAGAGCCTTTGGACATCTTTTCCACAGACCAGAGCATCCCCTAAAAGAAACTACTTAAAGTAAATGTACGTTGTCATCTTAAACATTGTTTTAGAGGCTGGAATACTGAACGACTATATTCCATTTAAATGTCCTATTCCTGTACTATATTATTGTTAGCATTTTATGTTGTGGACTGGGCACAATGACACCACATATTGGTGCACAGGAGAAGAAACTGATTGACTGCATAGTGAAGTTGTATGGACATTGCAATGTAAGAATGAAGGGGGCTTGGGGTGGGAAAAACTAACAAAAGTTATAATGAATATAAAATTTGCACTTTGAGATGGAACATATAGTAATCACATGAGAAAAAGGCATAAATGGGAGGTGGTTACAACATCTGATCAGTTTAGCACAAAAAACAAGACCTGAATCAGCCCTGTGTAACCTACAGAAGAATCTCAATAGTCTTACTGTTCACTGTTCATCTGTTTTACCTGAAAAACCAAGAGTCAGTGCTCTGTCAGTGGTAGAGACAAATGCTTTTGATCCTGAAGCTCATTTTATATTAAATGCCAGAGCTGTCCTCTTGTCTGTGTACAAAATCAATCAATGAAGATATAGCACAATGTCCTCTTAAGTAAGTCTGCTTCTTTTTTAAAAAAAATAAAAAAACTAAACATGATCCAAAGATGACTTGTATCATGTTTTTTTCTGTGGTGATTATTGGGTTCCATGTGAATACAATATCTTATATGTGGTAAATCAGCTTTCATTATCTATGTTTCATCCATCTATACATGTGTTTGTGTGTATATTTATTGAACAATGATAATTTGTACTTTTGATTACAGTTTTATTTTCACTTACTTTGACATTGACTGTCTGGGTTGTGTAAAAGGCAGCAAAAACCTGAACAAAACTTGAAGCACTGAGACAGTCCGCCCTGTCTTGCAAAGGCGAGGAGGAGACAGCACATCAGAAATGTTACACAACCGAGAAGTATAAGGCCAACCAGTGACAGTGGAAATGGCACAGGGAGGTAACAATAGATCGCTGCCACATTAAGACTAATTAATGTCTGTACCTGGGGTCGACTTGGCATTCAGGTTCGTCTGCTGCACCCGGACACACACGCCTGTAATTACATTTTTAATGGCGGCACCCTAGGGAGTCAGACACCCTGCTGAGAGAGACAGGACCGGGTGGGGTGGAGTGAACCGGGGCAGAGGGGGTAATGAAAGTCAAAAACCACTGAGAGACAACCTAATGCACAAATCAGAAGCAACAGGTATATGTATAAGACAAAATGCTTGGGATGCACCAATACAATTCTGGAAATTTTAATTGAAAATTTTGATGGCTAGGATATCGGTTCTAGGATATTGATTTAGGTCATATCCTATTTTGGCCTATTTGGTCTATTTTTTGGTGTATTAAGACGATTTACATGCCAATCTCCATCCCAACCACCTGATATTGAAAATGCATTTTTTCAAAGCTGTTCTATAGTTACTTTACATGATAAATAACATTTACAAAACACATTTAGATAATTCTTTACCATTCACCAATTGTGTTTAAATTAAATAAAACATATCTTCAGTATCTGCCCTAGTATTGGTTGATTTCAGGTACTGGCAGGTGCTTAAAGACAAAATACTGATATCGGTATCAGAAAAGAAAAAGCTACAAAATACAAATGATTAATCTCTGCAATAAACAACAAAAGATACAAATAAATACAAGCCTAAACAAACCCATTTTAACCATAACCAGCCAGTACATACTAGTAAGTGACAAGCAACATACTAATTATTAAGGTATAGGTAAACAATAATAATATACCAATGAGCAAAACATGAACTTATAAAATGCTGTATTTATATTTCCTCATTTTGACGCATCTGTCCATCCACATGTCAGCAGAGCCTTCCTGACCTGCCATTATAACCTCATCATCTGCCAACGCACAGACTGGCAGCAAAGGTCACCTGCATTACTCACATCGCCATCAACGCCACCAGGCTACCAGTGACGTCATCCATAAACAGACCGTCCAGGAGCACGCTTTCAAAGTACTAACCAAGGATTAGTTTGACGGCGAGATAGGCCTGTCACAATAATTACTATATTGATTTATCGTTCAGTGTATGTTGGATGGAACAATACTTTTGGGGGGGGTCAATATTTACTTTGTGTACATTTTCTTTACACGACTGAGAAATGTTTGCTACTTTTTGTAATATGATGATGAGATTTAAGCCATAAAAGGTTGAATAAATAACTTCTATGTTTTATTACAGATGCAAAGTAAGTAGTAAAGTGTTTCATTCTCCTGTTTATTTATTGCAGGTCATTGTTTATTTAACAGTGTTGTACATTTAGAACACTATTTGTGGTATAACTTTGCTTCTGGGGTGACAGTTAGTAGAGTTTGTTCACTGGTCTGAAGGCTGGCAGTTCAAATCCTGTTCAACATAAAGATCATTGGTTGAGTGGTCTTATTAACTGACCCTCAGGTTGGTGGTGCGATTCCATCACCTACAGATTAATTCTTGGGAAAGATACTTAACCCACCTCGCCTCCAGTGTCTGCGTTTGTGAATTTGTGAATGAATGCAAGTGTGAATGGATGAGCCTTTAAATTTCCTTGAAGGTGGAAAAGCTCTATATGAAAATGTGACCATTTATTGTGACAGTAGCATAAATTATCGTTTATCATCTATATTTACTACAGCAATATATGGCACTTCAATATTTGTTATCGTGACAGGCCTAGTATGAATAGACAATCATATAACCTATATATACTTTAGCCTTTGTTTACAGAAAGAGCTATGGGCTGTCAGTCTTCATGCATGACTGATCCTATATAGATATTTTATATCCCTGCTCCACAAACAGTGATCAATCTTTCATCAGGTTACATGCATGCCGCTGACATGTACAACTGCCTCCTCTGAGAACAATGAAGGTATTTACATAACGCTCCATTTGTTCTGTCATTTTGTATACACTAGTCACAATCTACTTCTTTGTGATGTGGCACACTGCCACCTCCTGGACGCAGGCTGCTATGACATTCAGAAACACAGACTATATTATTTTAAAGAATATACGTAATAATAGGTTGTAAGTAATACACGCTATTAATATGTTACTTAAGTAGCCATCTAAAAGCCACAATTTGCAATCACTCAATCCTTTAATGACATAAAGTAAACAAAAGGCTACGAAAAAGTTTGTTCCTGCAGCAAAGGTTAGAGACTTTAATGTATTACTATAATAACTGTCTCACTTCTTCTTGCAAAAACATATGGTGCACTATCTGTCTCTGTAGCATATGTACCAGATGTGCTCTTTCATCTAGAGGACTATAATGTACTTCACAGAGAAGCAGATGGAGATAAAGTTCAAACCAGCAGCAGCTGACCAGCACCTGTGCTCCATTTAACGTATGACTGTTGGATTACAATCAGTAGAATTTCATTTAGAATATTTTAAAATAGCATCCATTTAAACAGATGAGGGCTACATATGTTGTTAAAATAACTCAATTCTTCAATGTTTACACAGCTATGCACAGACCAATAAGCAATATTTCAAATTCCATATTTCAAGGTTTAGGCAATATTGAGGGTTAATGAACATGTTTTTAACATGGTTTCTCCTTACTAAGATAAATGGGGGAGAGCACACATATGGTATGCCTATTTTGGGCTATTATCACAGTCTGTCTCTGCTTCCTCTTTTGGTTTGTTCTCTCATAACTTGCATTCTCAAAATCAGTGCAGAGCTAGAAATAGAGGGGTTCAAGGGGGAAACATGGAAAGCTTCAGAGTGGTGGGTTTGAGGCTTTTGTGGATGGAACAAGCATACAGTTACAAAACAGAGCAGAGCTGAATCATTTTGAGATGAAAAAAACTATGCACTTTATACATTCTACAAAGTAGTACGAATAGAGCGGTACAAAGTGTTATAATATTACAATCAATACTGCACACTTAAGTTTATATTCTATACTTAAAACTGTTGTAACTTTTTTGGCAGAAGGCCTGCCACCTGCTTGCCTCCATGAAGATGATATTGTTTTGCCTGGAACGTTTCACAGTATGGCATTAAACTTATCACTGCCTCATCAATTCAATTTCAGGTGTTTGTAATGCACAAAAAATATTTGGTCATCTCTGCACAGATCTGACTAGGAACTTGACTTTGTGGCATCATCTGATAATAGTTTAAAGACATGCTGTGAAATATTCCAGACAAAGCAGTAAAAAGAGACAAGCAGAAAAGTTGCATGATTCATCTTTCACTATGGGTGTTTGATGATTTTTTTTTTTCTCTCTTTTTTTTCCATCTTTCCATGGTTTGTAGGCATTGTTGGCACTAGAAAATTTTACATGGCAGGAACAGAAAAATGATTACATGAGAGCTCTGAGTCAAAGCCAGGTGTTGATATGTCCTCCCAGTCTGGGTGGGGGGATAAAAATATTCAACTTCTCAGGGGACTAGCCTCAGTAGGAATCCGTAACAAGAATCTGATTTAGCAATGATCTTCTAATCGCTCAAATATTTACTAAAAAACAAACAAAATCAACAAATACAGTAAACTAAACACAAATAATTCATTCTGACTGGCACTTACTCCTACCATCTTTTCTCTCTCACACTGTTAAGGAACCAGATCCAGAATACGTAGCCAGGGAGGAAGGGTGGGAGCAAAGGAAAATAGGAAAAACACAGCTTTTCAGAGATGGTGGGTGGGACTGAGGGTGAGGTCTTGCATCAAAACTCACTGCAGAGACGGATCAGACCGACCAAGACAACACAACAGAGCTGGAATAGTTCATCTAGGTCCAAAAGTTATAACAAGTAACCACGATTGCTTGGTAACATGTTTTTCACTAAGATGGTGGGCAGAGGGGTTCTTCTTCTAGCTGTACACCTGTGCGTGGCTCTGGTCTCAGTTCAAAGCCAGGGATCTCAACAGGACAGCTTCATTATACAGTATCTGGAGCGCAGGTTGGCACAGATAGAGGTAAGAGCTTACATTTCAACTAGACATATTGTAATAATAGGGAAGGGCATGGAAGAAAAACATAGCTGATATTTTAAAGTATAAACTGTAAGAAACTATAATATCTTAGTTTAGATTTCTTGTTAAATGAATCATAATAACACGTGTAAAGGCATACGGTCTGTCAGTAGAAGTTAAATTCACTGTTGTCCACACTGCATTGCAAAACAATGTCTTCTCAAAAAAAAAAAGAAAATTAAAAAAAAATTATGTGGGAATACTAGTCTTTTTTTGTAGGTTTCAAGAGAGCTACAGTAAACTAAACAACACTGGAAGTAAAAACAAGTTTGCATGGTAATAACATCTGGAGACAATATATCTCAGCCCCATAGTGTTTTTATCAGAATACATTTGTGCTGAAAAATACCTTCCCAGTAACAAAATATCTTGTAACATGTCCCTACAACTCCAATGGATAAAGCAGGATATGGTTCTTCTGGTACAATGTGAAATTAAAGCAGTGTCAAGTATCTGTGTGGTCTATTATTACGAAGAACAATGGAATTTCAAGACAACACAATGTTGGCAAGTAGCAATTACAGCAAATGCATGTATCTCCTTCACAGATCTTCAGAGCCAACTGTCTGGATGCTGCTGTTTGCAAGGATTCTTTAGTTTACCAAGGCTAGCTAGAATTTGCTATAATGTTGCAATAATGCAGTTGGTGTTCATTATGATCTAAGCCACAGAAAACAATGATAAACATAACCTGATAGCTCTTCATAAATCTCTCTTCCTCACTGGTTAATGTTTTCTAATTGCAGGAGCGTTTGAGCCAATGTGAGCTACAGAGTATAACTGCCACACAGAAAATTTATGAGCTTTCCTCAGAGGTCAAAGGTCACATGTCTACTCTTGGTATTTTTCAGTAAGTACAAATCTTTTAAAGTGCTCATTAAATAATGTTTATACATGTAACTGAGAACTGTCCACAGATCTGAGATGAAGACTCAGGTGGAAAGTGTCTCCACTCGTGTGGAGCGAATGGAGAGAGAGATGGAGTACCTGGAAAACAAGATCCCCACACAGTCTGACATTGAGATGGAGGAGGCCCTTTTGGAGCAACAGATCAAGGACATCGAGCAGGAGCTGAAGCAGAAGGCCAAGTTCAAAGTAGAAAATGGTAATATGTGTTTCTTATACCTCTGTAATTTAAGCAAACATCTCAATAAGCAGAGAAAACAAGATGGCATTGAACATGTAAAATTGTAATTTAATCATCACAATTAAATATGTCATGTCATATTTAGTTATTTACTCAAACAACTGAACTACACTGAATTGTCATATCAGTATAAGCTACTATATGGTAGAAAAATGTTGTCTTTGTGTATTTAGACTGTAATACAGCACTAAGCCAAATCAAGTCTCTGAAGATTGTAAAAAAAGTTGGGGACACTTCTGGGTCCTGGTTTAAAGACCCTTCAGAGGGGTCAAATAAGGTGAGCTCTAACTTGGAAAAGTTTGAGTTTTACATTTCATTGGGTAGAAGGAGCCAATAAGTGTGCAGTGTTTGATGTGTTGCAGGTGTACCTGATGAGTGGAATCCGGAACAATACTCTGGTGGAGTATGTTTCACTGAAGAGATTTACAGAGAAGTCTATCACTCCAGCTCCCAAAGAACTGCAGCTTCCTTTCTACTGGCAGGGCACTGGGCAGGTTGTCTACAATGGGTTCCTTTATGTCCACAAAGCAGACACACCAAATCAGATACTCAAGGTAAACTATTATTTAGTATGACTATGAATGACTGGATAGTTTCCACATTTTGAGGATCTATTATCGATTACAACACAGGTTGATTTACTGAATGGTACAGTGGTGGACAGCACACTACTTCCTGGAGCAGGTCAAATGCCAGTCTACAGTCTGAATCCAAACACATATATGGACTTTGCTGTTGATGAGCTAGGCCTATGGGTCATCCATGCTGATTCAGAATATGGAGGAAACCTTGTCATCACTAAACTGGATAAAGGTAAATTTTAGGAATTTATTTATATAGATAAGATAAGATTTTGAATTTAATATTGCTACACTGTGTACATTTTCCAGCTAGTCTGTCAGTAGAATATACTTGGGATACTCAGTGTAAAAGTCGGGATGCTGAAGGAGCCTTCATCATTTGTGGGACTCTGTATGTGGTCTATAACACACGTTATGGGGGACGCTCCACTGTGCAATGTCTCTTTGACATCCATGACACCATTCACAGGTGAGTCCAGTGCAGGTTCCTTCACATGCAGTTTGAAAGACAGTCATTATTAATGGAGTATTTACCTATATTTTTTTTTTGAAGTAATGAGAGCCCCGTGATGTTCTTCCCAAAGAGGTACACGAGCCACAGCAGCATCCACTACAACCCCAAAGACAAACAGCTGTATGCCTGGGATGACGGATACCAAACAATTTACAAAGTGGAGATACAGAGGAATGTCACTGCTCAATGATGATTTTTTTTCAATGTGGATGTCATGATTGCACCTGAACTAACCCACACATGGTCTACGGTTATCCTGGGAAATGTATTTTTAAATCGTTTTAACTGCTACAATTTATGTCACTTGTCAACACAATAAATGATATTGGTCTGCAATAGTCTACTCTAGCCACTTCTAGTTTGCCAAAGTTGTCATAATGGTGAAGCTTTTGTTTTAATAAATATATCGTGATTGGACTTTTTAAAAGAGTAAGTCACCAACTGGCATCAACCATAGACTATGATAAACATAATTGTATGCATTATCCAACATACAGGACATGCTTTTTAAACTCAGCCTTCTTATACATTATATAATTCTGTGACAGATGTTTAGATCTATCTTTATCAACATTCTTACCTCTCTGCCCTGCCCTGTGCTGCATTAAAAGTTACACAGCAAATACTGGACTCGCCTTTGTTTGCCCTAAAGTCTGTATAAGGGTTATAAGGCAGATACAAGCTAGCAATACCTTATCCAGTTATGTTAACAGATCCACGTGTTTTGTTCCTGACCTCATCCCGTTTCCGCCCATTTTCGGTTGACCATGACGTCAGCGGGGGGCGGGGCTAAAGGCTCTGATTTGACAGCCGCTTGTTTCAAACCAGAGCATCCATTCACGCCAGCTTTGAGTCATACGAACAAAACAAAACTAAAGAGTGCTGTTAAAGGGAGTCGATGAAATATGAGGAGAAGAAGTAGCAGCAATGGCAGCAGGAGAAGAAGCTCGATCATCCGAAGACGTAGTGAAAACGTGCGTTTTGATGAGTTCGGTTTTGCGATCACAAAGAAGAAGGAGCAAAAACTTCAGCACAGATCTCACGACTACAGGTGCGACACACACAAAGGATCACTAGTTTATTTGAGGATAGTTAATTTGGATAATTATTTATCTTAGAATCCCTCCTATTAGAAAGTTATTTTATTAACGTTATAATAAAGTAAGTAACTCGTTTCCGATTAGTGGTTATGCTGTAGCAACAACAACACAAACTAAGCTAACAAGCTACCTACAAAATCAAATCAGTCTAGATTTAACGATTAACATTAATCTTGAACTAAAAAAATTACCCTGTTTCTTTTTAAGCCTCTGTTTTTTTCTGTTTTTGTCTTTTGGCATTGAACCAGCGGGAAATAATACATTCAAGTACTTTTTGACTCGTGTTCTTTGTATTCAATCTTGGTAGGAAAGCATATTCTTTTTAGCCGCACCTTTCATTTTAATCTTGGTTAATTATTATTTGGATATCAGGAACAATAACAATGCCAATGTCATCCACATTCTCCATGTATTGTGCTGTCGTTTTCTTAGCTACCCCCAGTTGAGTCCAGTGAGGGTCAAGGAGCTGTGTGAACTGCTCAGCTACTGGAATGGAGCCAGCTTCCTCTGCAAAAACCAGGTAATGTCATAATTTTAAAATGATCAGTTTAGAATCAAATGAAATGTATAGACCGAAATGGATAGATAGAGATGGACAGGTGTTAATGCCTGAATCAGATCTGAGAGAAAAAAAGATAAATCCAACAAGTGAAAGCTTTTGGCTTTGAAGACACATTTGACTACGGAAGCTTTAGTTGTTGTTGTTTTTTACACTTGTTTTTAAAGTTAACAGTATGTAAACACTTGAGTTTTTTAAATGAAATATATTTACTACTTACTATACTATTATCGTTCCTCTAGCTCTTTGATAAAGTAGTTGGCCACGAAATACACATTAAAAGCCCCCAATATTGAGTTTTTAATATTTGTGCTTAATACACTATCAACCTTAATGCTCCATCACAGGACTATTATTTGTGTTGCACTAAATGCAGTTGTATTGTAAACTTGTTTTTTAGATTGAGAGATTCATCAGGATGGGCATTCCTTCAAGTTTGCGAGGGCAAGTTTGGAAGTGCCTTCTCTCCATTGAAAACAGGAGACAAAAGAGCCAATTTAACTATGAGGTGCTTTATTTTTCAAAATTCATTATTTAAGTAATTAAAGAGTTTAATTCATATCTCTTCTTCAGATGTGCCTGGCAGAAGTGCGAGGACCTCTTGTAGACCTGGGGGTCAGTGAGTATGGCATTTTGTCAGCCATCACCACATTGAGTGAGACACAGAATGATTTGGGAACAAGCCAGCAGCAGTTCACCGGCTCAGAGATGCGCTACTCTGTGGATGACATCACACTCTTCAGACAGATAGCACTGGACTTGCGTATGCGTCTCTCTTTTAATTACAACTTGTACTGTTCCCTTTAAACGTATAAGCTTAAATGCACACTGGACAGTAAGATACTGTAGCGGATGCTGAGAGTATGTTCTTGTTGCAGAGCGCTCATTCCCCACACACCGCTCTCTGATGGGGGACAGTCCTGAAGCCATAGAGGGCCAGGCCAAACTTTTCCGGGTCCTCATTGCCTATGCAAGATACAATCCTCAGGTTGGATACAGCCAAGGTAAGAATTAAGTTACAGCTCTGTGAAGTCTCATAGGGGCAAGACTGGTCCTCCCACTGGCTTTAAGTAGAGATTGGTGTAATTCCTATTTTGGCCACAAGATGGCGATATAAAACAGATTATACAAATAGTATGTGGTTCTGCTTTGGGGTCCTGCAAGAAACCACAAAGCTACTTTCCTTATTAATTGAATGCCATGATATGTATGTGAAGTGCTGTTTATTTCTGGTTTATTGCAGCACCCTAAATCTTTCATATCCCATATGTCTATGTTATTTACAGGGATGTCCTACATAGCTGCTGTATTGCTGATGCAGCTGGCAGAGGAGGAGGCATTTTGGGCTCTTACAGCCCTGTTGGATCAACCTCAACATGTAGCTGAATTATTTGACCTCAACCTTTCAAAGTAAGAATTTACACTGTGTCATGAAACATGATGATATCTTAAACCTAAATGTTATTTGAATGAATCCATCTGTGGACTTTCTTACCCAGTTCAATCGTTTTGTGTGTCTCGACAGAATCCAACATCAAGTGAAGGTGTTTGAACAGCTTCTGAAACACAGAAAACCTCAACTCTCTCAGCATCTGGTATGTATGCATACTAAAAGTAATAACTGATCAATATGTGTTTGTACGTTTGAATAGGCTCATCATGTCTGTTATGTTTTACTACAATATATAAATTCATAAGTTCATTTCAAAAGTTTTTTTTTTTTTTTCTGTTGTAACATATTGAACTTGCTGAAAAATCAGTGGATTTCCCCTGGGTTTTCCAGGTTCCAATGAGTCACAGAAGACTCCAGTCCTGACCATCACACACCTGCTGTTAAATACCTGCTTTGTTCAGCTGTACTGAACATTATAACAAAGATGAAGGGATTGATTGAATGCCCTTCTTACACTATTTCAACTCAGTATTTTTTTTATGTGTGATCGAAGTATTAAGCCATAGATAATCGCTGTACGTGATTTACATGTAGTATCTGCCTTCTCTTCAGGAGTCTGTGGGACTTTTGTCAGTCCATTTTGTGATGCCCTGGTTTCTCACCCTCTTCACTTCACTGCCCTGCTGGGACTCTGTGCTGGCTGTCTGGGATCTCGTCATTTTGCATGGTTTGTACACACGCACACTTGCGCACAAAAGCGCGCATGCACACACACACATACAACTCTTTAATGCTCTTGACTTGTTAGTCATTTGATTTGTGGGTGCCCTGCTTGTATTGACCCAGGGTTGTCAGCTGTTTTCCGGACGGCGCTGACCATCATTGAGCTCCTGGAGCCTCGGCTGATGGGGCTAAATGATGAAGGGGCCATGTTACCACTGCTGCTTCGAGTCCCAGTGGATGTGTAAGTACAGACCAGCTTGCAGCATAAAGTAATGCCAGATCTACAATTAGGAAAAATACTATAATGTATTACCAGTGCAGATTCTGTTTTGCAGCTTTTGTACAGCAGTGTTCAAAATGTAACTAGCTAAACTAAAAGTGTGAGCAAACAAACAATTTAACCTCAAAAGTTTTGTCTCTTCCAACCCACATTTTAGTGAGTTTTCCTGGAATAGTCCTGTTTTTTCTGAGTACTACTGATTAATTAACAGGCAACTCATGAATATGAATCAGTCCATCAGAAATGGGCATGTTTTGACATTTCTAAAAGTAAAGTGTCATTGTTGCTTCACTTGTTTTGGAGCGTGTTTGAATTGAACGCCCTTTATGCAAATGAGCTCCTTCAATGGCTGTCTTTCAGTCTGGTCTAACTACATAAGGAGTATAATCGTTACATGTTTAGTTGACTTTGGGTAGTTGCTATAGCAACTGAGTGGGTCACTGGGTTTGTGTACACTGCCAATATGGTTAGTCAACAAATGTATTTGTTTTAATTGATAACCTTTTTAATTTCATATCTTTTTGACTTTCACTCTGAGTTTAATTTACTTTACAAGTTAAACATTATCGCCTTTGAACTAAGACTGTACCTTTACCCTCACAGATGAGGAAACACACGCTTAATGCCACTAAACTACCCTAAATAAATGTTCCTAGATGTATTCATCTGGAGTAAAATCCTAGGTTTAAAGGATAAAGCATATTTGCAGTACTATTTCATAATGTGAAATACTGTACATGTTAAAATCCATAAATGGGAACAGTCATGAAATAAATGGAAGCCTAAAGAAGACACAAGGACACCTCTGCTGCTGCTCTGGTGTCCAGTGGGCAGCCTGCCATAGTGTTTGTTACTCAGTTGGAAGTCAGCTCTAAGTGGTTTGGTTGTCTCCTGTGGCAGGATCTTCTTACTCTGGGAAGTTTTAAAGAACGAAAGCTACAAGACAGAATGACAGATGAACAAAAGGGAGCTATAGAACTGCTCACAAAATATGCTATGCTCCTGCAATCCAAATAGCGAGAAGAACAATGAAAAATATTGCCTATACCTGGTAATTGGTCTAGTATTGTAACTAGAGTGTACCAGACATCGGTTGAACACTTGATGTCTTAATTTTACTTGGTTGACACTGAAGATTTTTCAACTTACATTTGAATTATTTCTACCAATCCCATGAACATTTTGTATTATACGTCTACATTTGAGCCTAAAATATGTATGTGAGGTATGTTTTTGGAACGGCTACACTACTCTTGTTCCTAAACCCCATCCCACGCACTACTACCACTTGGGTCTTTGGACGTCATTCTCTTTTGTTCACCCCTCTTTCACAATCCTCTGTTCCCATAAATCTCCCCGGGCCGTCCATCCTCCCCCTGCTCCCTGACTCTCTCTCTTTCCTCTCCTCTCTCCCCCTCATTCATTCATTCTTCTTCATTGACACATTGACACTCGTTCAGCTGAAGGGGTTGCCACATTATTTGTTCACTTCACACTGACAAGGCTGGCTTCAGCAAAGTCTAGCCTTTATCCATTTAGACCACCAACCAGCGGCCCTTTATTGTTAAGTCTGATTTGTGGAAATCTGTTGTAAACATGCTTTTCTGAGCACTGAGCTTATGAGATGCCTTAATTGCCCATAGATTGCCTGATGAGTAGGATTGTGCTAAAATCTCATATGAGTAAATTGTGATCTCATTCAGAGATACAATATAAATATTCTCTACTGTTGTACTAGCACAAATATGTTTCTGTATGTCATTTTTGTCTAGATTAAAATTTTTTTGTGATTTGGCTAAATTCAGATTTTTTTGTGATAATTTTTCTTGCTTAAAGTAGGACAACAAAGTGGCCAACATAACTGATTGTGTGTGGTTTTAACTTTCCTGTCTCCAGATCCCAGTACTGTGTGTTGATTCCTGCTCTGTGGAACACTGAAGTGCAGGACTGGGAGCTCAAATGCATGAACAGCCTTGTTCTGGACGAAACCCTAACCCTAACCCAGAGTGGACCCATAGCTGGTAAAACACTGATAAACAACACACACACACACCAGAGTTTTTTTACAAAAGGGTGGCTGATCCAGAATCCTATGGGGAGCACTCAGGACACAGGGGCTCAGGTTCTGCTCCACTTAACCTTTTACAACGTACATGTAACCTGTTCTCATCAGGCACTGCCTTTTGTTGTTGGGTTGTTGTTTGGTCTTTTTTATCTTATTAACTTTGCTGCTGGGAGACCAGGAGGGCATCTGTGTGAGAAAGACTGTTGTTTACATACCTGCATCCTCTTGTACTGCATATGCTTGATTGTGTGGGTGAGTATCCTGATAACAGAATACAGACCATATCTCAAGCTACCAAGCAATGTGCTAAAAAATATATTAAGTTATGTTAGTTGAGATTTAAGTATCAAACACATAAGAAAATCATGTTATGATTACATTTGAAGTATGATATTTTGCTTAAGAAAATACAGATAATAAAGAAACATACTTATGCTATTGACACAATAACCCTAGAGAATAATTATCCCCAAAGGCGTGATAAATGTATAATACGGTTAAAGCACAAACTGCAATAAATAAATGGCAGAATGAAGCACTTTTAGTAGTTAGTTTGTGTCTATAATGAGTCATTGAAGTTATTTACTCAACCATCTACAGCTCAAATTTAATCGTAGTACAGAAAAATAACAAAATGTCCCCCCCAGTGCTAAGAAAAAGTCATCACGATAAATAGTAACCCCCCCCCTCCACCGAAGTAATAATTCTATCATGTATTGAACAATAAGTAAATATAGTAATTATTGTGACAGTCCTGTTTATAACTTACATGACTATTCATATAACTTTTGCTTTCTTTTTTTTTTCTTTTCTTTTTTCATTTTAATTAGAAAAGATTCGTCCGACATTCATAATATTATTATTGAGATATATTTGATCTTTTTTTATATTTTAACTTGATGGCTAATTTTGTGATTGGCATACACTGTACACTGTAAAACATGCTGTCAGTTTTATGTCATAATTCAACACAAAAATCTTGAGGCATAAATTCTACATCTGTCACCTTAAACCTTTAACAATCTTAAGATTTAGAATTTGTGGTTTGTTGCTCAACTACCAGTTTTCTTGTTTGTCAAAAATGAGCTGTTGTGCCGGGAATGGGGAGACTTGTGTTTCTGCGTGCGTGTGTGTGTTTGTGTGTGTGTGCGTGTGTGAGACAGAGAGAGAGGTAGACCACTACAGCTCCATAGATCAAAGAACCTGTAATCTTTCTGCAGGCTGTTCAAATATCTCTCCACTGAGATCTGTAATGCCACTACTGCAGTCTCAACTTCACAAAATCAGACAGGTTGGAATGTTGCCTTCGTGCGCCTCTGTGTTACTGGGTCCTGGGCTGGCAGACTGGAGCGGGATTTGCTTTGTACATGAGTCACATGCTGTTTGCTGCAAGGGAGAAAGGGAGAGAGAAAGAGCATGTGTGATCTGTAAAATAAGTTTTGGAGAGACTATAAAAAGAGCACATCAATCGTAGACAACCGTGAGTCTGCTTTTGGGTCACTTGGAAGCTACAAAGCATATTTTGGGACAGCGCTCATCCATCAGTCTTGTTGCATGTGTCCCCCACCTGTGTGTGTATCTGTGTATGTGTGTGTGCGTGCGTGTGTGTGTGTGTGTGAGTCACAGTGAGTCATCTGAAGTCAGTCCAGCCTCAGGCATCAAGAGGAGCGCTCTGATTCAGTCACCGGTGCTACTACGCCAAACATTTACTTTTACTTGTTACTATTGTTGCTCTCCAAAATTGAGTCATTTTAAACTTTCTTTAGCTGATGTAAAATAAGGGTGTAGATGAAAAGGAACTTTTCAGCAAACATTTACGGGACACAATTACAAAGGATACTTGTTTTCTTTTATATATTGGTGTGTCGTCAAAATGTAAAGATGACCATGTCAAAAGCAGCTTGATCTAGACTTTGCCAACCTTAACTCCATGTTTTCTGGAATACTCCTGACCAAAACGCTCAATATTTCCATAATATTTTGTGAATTAAATTGAGTGATTAACTTGATGGATGGTATTAATTTTAATAAAGTACTTATAGCAGATTGAGATACTTAGCTTGTTGTTTTGTTTGTATCTGTGCCTGAGGCAAGAGTTCTTTTTGGAGAAGGCCAAAAGCCAAAATAAAGTGCTGTAATAGTATATTCTGTGTATGTACGCCTCACCTCTGACCTGTCTGTCATGTTTTATAATGGTCTATAGTGAGAACATGTGAAGGATATTGATGAGATGTGTGGCTCAGGGGTCTGCCAGCATCGGGCTGACTCATCAGGAAAAGGACAGAGTAGGTTACTTATGTTATGCTGACTCAGACTGTGGTCTTTTATGTTTTTACGTTTGCCCCATCTCCATCGTGCTCTCTGTTTTTGTAACCATTGTGGCCCCCACTGCTTCTCCAGTCTATTTTTTAGACTACGTATAGTTTCCCTTCTGTGTATAGATCATAATAAATAGTGTATTTTTGTTAACTAAAAGCAACGTTTGCTAAGATGCAGTTATTATTATCTAAATATTGTCAATATACTGTAAGTTGTTTGCCAATACTGCAATAGCAACACTTTCTACCACCTTCAAAAGATTTGCAACTTTAGTTACATTTGGTGGCGACTCTATTACTAATTCAATGAATATGTGTCTGACATGCTTGCAGCTATGTTATTTAATGTTGTGAAAATCACAGGGCTCAGCAGCATATATTATTACTATAATAACCTCCTTTTAGTGCACACAAGCTGCTCTCCTCTCCTCCGTCCTTTAGGCATCACTAGATCTCTCTCTCTCTGGTCCTGCACCAGTATTTCCCTGCTCTAATTCCCTCTCTGCTTGTTGTGTCCCAGTGCTGAAGTCGCAGATGCCAGAGCCCTGTTCTCAGCAGGCTCCCCTGATACAACACTCTTTTTCCTGTTCTCCTTATGTCCATGCTAAGTGCTGTGACTCAGCGTTTACATTGCTTTTTTGTCCTCTAAGAACTACCTCTGGCCAGTGCTGCACAATCACTTTTAATGCAGGTGCTTTCATATTAGGCCTTTAAATATATACACTGGGTGGATACATTGATGTGAGAATGGGTTCATAACAGCTCAGTATTACGGAAATGATCATTACCTTTTTTATCTTTGCTTCTGTTGATCTATCTTTGATATATTTGTCCAATTTATCCTTTAGACTTCCTTACCGTGTGGTTTTTGTATGAATCCAAAATGGATGTGAAGAAGTCCAAAGAAAAGCAAGGTCAGAGTTAAACGTGGGGTCAGAGTAAATTGGCTTGGCTTGGGGCAGCGGTGCCAGACACAAACACATTAAAGGCAGGAGTGATAAGAGCGGTTGTAAGGGTCTCAGTGGAGATGACCTTCAGAAGTGTTCTCTCGCTCTAATGTATCTAGGATACTATTGTAGCCTCATGTACTAGTGGGTCATATAGTCTTCTTACATATAGTATTATTATTGCCTCATAAGAAAGACGGCTTATACTTGTGTATGTCAAGCTTAAATTACCCTACTCTAGTCTTGAGATGGTCCTTCTTATTTGTACAAACACAACAGAAATACTTCAGTTTATGATAAATGCCACTGCATTTAATGTTGATATTAAATGGTGTCTTAAAGGTGACAGATTCAGCAACCATATAATTTATAGGGAATGAAAGATGTTGTTGCTGCTTTGGTGGCTATTGTTCTAATATTTTGTATCATATGAAATGATAATATAATCCAGTGAAGGGTCTGACGCTATTTCAGAATTATAAGTTTGGGGGAATGTCCTGTCTCTAACCTGGTTAAGATGTCCTAGCCAAGGGCACTTGGCCCACCAGTGACCCCAGTTGTAGTCCTCTGATGAGCCTTGCTCTTTGTACAAGTCTGTGTCACTGTGTGTTTGTGCTTGAAGTGGAATGTCACTGTTCTAATCAACCCTGGGTTGACCCTCATTAAGCGTCACCTACGCTGCCAGGTTTGTGTTCAAAGGTCCACTACACTTCTCCCTGAGGAGCTGCAGTCCACAAAATGGACCACTTAATAATACCTTGTCATTAGATAATTGATTAGATAATAAAGTGACCCAAACAGCCCCTATAGGCCATTTAGTCACAGCACTGAGCAGTGTTTCTAAACTCTACTGTAACATAAGCACATTCTAGTGAGGTTTTGTCACTCCCCTGTCTCCCAGCACTCTGCATGCTCACCTGCTTCTCCCCACATTTTTTTAAGAGTTGAAAGACAACACGAAGGCAGAGGCACTGCATATAACATACACACTACATTCATGTTGTAAAAGTGTCACATAAAATAGTCCTGTGAATTGTGTGTTGTTAAAATTGTAGAAATTTGAAACTGGTTTGGCAAACTTACTGAAGCAGCATATGGAACTCATTAGTTTCAAAACCATGTTATTTATTACAAGTGACTTTTTGCAGTTTGTCCTACAGCACAAAGTGAAAATAAAGGTTCACATCCCTGAATGCCCTCATTAAGACAGAACTAGCCATATGGTGTGAGAGTGTGCACATTTTGCTTAATTATGAGTCAACTTTTTTCTGAGCTAGTGTGTTGGTTAGGTTATAAGCCACGGTTCCACAAGACGTGTAATTAAAACAAAACATTAAAATAAACAAAGTTAGTTGGCTTGCAGCTAATGCCACAAGGGAGACCTGCAGGCTTTCAGCTGTTCGGATTTAGCACACCTCCAAAATGTTCATATTTCTCTGGTGTGGTGTGTGTGTGTGTCCTGGTTTCATGTTCATGCATGTGTAAAAAGCCTTTGTTTTTGAAAAGAAAGCAGAGGAGTGGTTATTTGAATAATTAATACGTTTTTGTAATTATGTTTACTTCCTTTAAAATCTGGGGCATGTTTTTTCATTATATAGAGTGCATTGCTTCGAGTTCAAATGTTGTCATTTGCTGCTGTGCAAGATTCATCCACATGGCATATGCTTTTTTAAAACTTTGACATCAACCCC